ACTACAAAGGCAAGATTTCGTAAAGATTTCTCTTTGCATGCTATTTTGGGTGAAGTTTGAACTTTCAAGCATTATAGTCCAGGTCCTATGAGCCTTTTGATCGAGAGACAAGAGTTCATAATCTCAAGGAAAGGCTTCGCAGATATGGAAAACAATTTAGAATTAGCGTTTACAAGATACTTTTCATATCGCATTCAATGTTTTCTCGTTGATAAATGTTTCCATGCTGATCATAAGTACTCATTTTGAGTGTTTGTACTAACGCTCACAACGCTATTCTTTAAGACCGTAGATCATGGCATGTTACTGTTTTTTTACAGTTGTAAACAGATAAGCTAGAGTTAGCGCACATTGTGCTTGCAAGTGATTGTTGTTTAATTGAGTGGACGGTATTGAAAACAAGAAAAATCTGATAAATTGAAAGCAGAATCATCACAAACACTCGAGATTTGCGTATTTAAAGTTGCGTTGCTATTGTCAATGTATAACGTTGTCCGTCAACTCTCACCATGAATATTTTACTAAGCTTTACAAAATGCGTATATATTAATTTTAAGTAAAAAGCAGTCAAGTCAAAAACGCCTTAAAAATTGCAGAGAAAGTCACGTCAAATTTTTTGCGTCTAAGAGCTCTTCGTTCTCAACGTTATACTTATAGTAAGAAGAAGAAATTCTGAAGCCTTATTTTCCTCGAAACGTGATGAAAATAATTCTCGTCGTCATTGTTCTGGTTAAGACCCCGGTAGAGGAATCTGTCTTATTATCTGGAATCGGAGGATTCGAGTTTATTGTGAGTCTGAAAAGTTAGTTTCTTGAAAAACGAAGAGATAACATAAAATAAGGATAAACCTATTCAAAGGGAACCGGTGCAGTAGGTCCTTATTGCCAACCCCAACAAACGCAATCGCTTTTTCAAAAACAACCGTCCACCGCTGCTGCTCCTATATTTGTTCCCCTCTACTGTAAGTTAAAAACCATTCTCTAATCGTCTTAAAATTTTATAGTAT